GGTTGGGGGGAGGAGCTTGGCCTGGTTGGGGGGGAGGAGCTTGGCCTGGTGGGGGGAGGGGCCTGGTCTGGTGCGCCGGGGGGGGGGGGTGGGGGGTCAGAGTTCACCAAGATGGCCGCGCCCATGGGTCGAATGCTTCGCGGCTCTCTGTGGGGGTCCTCGTGGGGGTCCCCGTGGGGGTCCCCGTGGGGGGCCCCGTGGGGGGCCCCGTGGGGGTCCCTCAGGGCGCTGCCGCGACTTTGCCCTCGGAGGCCGCGCTCGGGTGAGGCCGCGTTGGGGGGTGGGTGTTGTGGGGGGTCTGTGGTGCGTGGCGTTGACCATACCACTGGCGGGGGCGGCGGGGGTTGGCAAATCCGAAAGACTACCAAGCTCTTTGCTCAGCGCGGGTTAGCCCGGCGGAAGGAGTGGGGGGGGGGGAGGCGCTGCTTGCGCGGGCAGTGCCAGGCTAGGTGCACCGTCGATGTGCACCTAGCCTGGCACAGCGGTACAACCCGCGGGCACCTGCAGGGTCTGTCACGTGACCACCTCCACCTGCACCTAGCCTGGCACGGCAGTCAACCCATGGCACCTGCTGGGTCTGTCACGTGACCTCATGCACCTAGCCTGGCACAGCAGTCAACCCACGGCACCTGCTGGATCTGTCCCGTGACCTCCTCCTCATGCACCTAGCCTGGCACGGCAGTCAACCCATGGCACCTGCAGGGTCTGTCACGTGACCACCTCCTCCTGCACCTAGCCTGGCACAGCAGTCAACCCATGGCACCTGCTGGATCTGTCCCGTGACCTCCTCCTCATGCACCTAGCCTGGCACAGCAGTCAACCCACGGCACCTGCTGGGTCTGTCACGTGACCTCCTCCTCCTGCACCTAGCCTGGCACGGCAGTCAACCCATGGCACCTGCAGGGTCTGTCACGTGACCTCCTCCTCCTGCACCTAGCCTGGCACAGGAGTCAACTCATGGCACCTGCAGGGTCTGTCACGTGACCTGCACCTAGCCTGGCACAGCAGTCAACCCGTGGCACCTGCTGGGTCTGTCACGTGACCTGCACCTAGCCTGGCACAGCAGTCAACCCGTGGCACTTGCTGGGTCTGTCACGTGACCTGCACCTAGCCTGGCACAGCAGTCAACCCACGGCACCTGCTGGGTCTGTCCCGTGACCTCCTCTTAGGTCGGCTCGGCCTCAAATGAGTCACCTGTTGGTGTAGCGAAACGTCGCCAGCAACCGCTTGCCCCTACAGCACTGTGTGGGCTACCTGGGGGAGCTTTGTCTGTGTGAGGTGTGTGTGTGTGTGCTCGCTTACTCACAGCCACTTGCCCCTACAGCACTGTGTGGGCTACCTGGGGGAGCTTTGTCTGTGTGAGGTGTGTGTGTGTGTGTGCTCGTTGACAGCACTTGCCCCTACAGCACTGTGTGGGCTACCTGGGGGAGCTTTGTCTGTGTGAGGTGTGTGTGCTCGCTACTCACAGCCACTTGCCCCTACAGCACTGTGTGGGCTACCTGGGGGAGCTTTGTCTGTGTGAGGTGTGTGTGTGCTCGCTTCTCACAGCCACTTGCCCCTACAGCACTGTGTAGGCTACCTGGGGGAGCTTTGTCTGTGTGAGGTGTGTGTGTGCTTGCTGACAGAACTTGCCCCTACAGCACTGTGTAGGCTACCTGGGGGAGCTTTGTCTGTGTGAGGTGTGTGTGTGTGTGTGTACTCGCTACTCACAGCCACTTGCCCCTACAGCACTGTGTGGGCTACCTGGGGGAGCTTTGTCTGTGTGAGGTGTGTGTGTGCTCGCTGACAGCACTTGCCCCTACAGCACTGTGTGGGCTACCTGGGGGAGCTTTGTCTGTGTGAGGTGTGTGTGTGTGTGCTCGCTACTCACAGCCACTTGCCCCTACAGCACTGTGTGGGCTACCTGGGGGAGCTTTGTCTGTGTGAGGTGTGTGTGTGTGCTCGCTACTCACAGCCACTTGCCCCTACAGCACTGTGTGGGCTACCTGGGGGAGCTTTGTCTGTGTGAGGTGTGTGTGTGTGTGCTCGCTACTCACAGCCACTTGCCCCTACAGCACTGTGTGGGCTACCTGGGGGAGCTTTGTCTGTGTGAGCTGTGTGTGTGTGCTCGCTACTCACAGCCACTTGCCCCTACAGCACTGTGTGGGCTACCTGGGGGAGCTTTGTCTGTGTGAGGTGTGTGTGTGTGCTTGCTGACAGCACTTGCCCCTACAGCACTGTGTGGGCTACCTGGGGGAGCTTTGTCTGTGTGAGCTGTGTGTGTGTGCTCGCTACTCACAGCCACTTGCCCCTACAGCACTGGGTAGGCTACCTGGGGGAGCTTTGTCTGTGTGAGGTGTGTGTGTGTGTGCTCGCTACTCACAGCCACTTGCCCCTACAGCACTGTGTGGGCTACCTGGGGGAGCTTTGGTTTTGTATCTCACTCACCCCCACCCCACCCCCCACCCCCCCCCCCCCCCCGTGTCTCCCCCCCTCTCAGGGGTCTCATCTGGTCGTGATTTCGACCTCCTGGTCATAGGCGGAGGATCGGGAGGTCTGGCCTGTGCCAAAGAAGGTAGGGGTCCAACTGGGGTCTAACTGGGGTCTAGGTGGGGTCTAACTGGGGTCTAACTGGGGTCTAGGTGGGGTCTAACCGGGGTCTAGGTGGGGTCCAGGTGGGGTCTAGGTGGGGTCTCGGTGGGGTCTAGGTGGGGTCTACGTGGGGTCTAACTGGGGTCTAGGTGGGGTCTACGTGGGGTCTACGTGGGGTCTAGGTGGGGTCTAACTGGGGTCTAGCTGGGGTCTAGGTGGGGTCTACGTGGGGTCTAGCTGGGGTCTAGCTGGAGTCTAGGTGGGGTCTAGGTGGGGTCTAGGTGGGGTCTAACTGGGGTCTAGCTGGGGTCTAACTGGGGTCTAGCTGGGGTCTAGGTGGGGTCTAGGTTGGGTCTAACTGGGGTCTAAATGGGGTCTAACTGGGGTCTAGGTGGGGTCTAACTGGGGTCTAGGTGGGGTCTAACTGGGGTCTAGCTGGGGTCTAGGTGGGGTCTAGGTTGGGTCTAACTGGGGTCTAACTGGGGTCTAACTAGGGTCTAGGTAGGGTCTAACTGGGGTCTAGGTGGGGTCTAGGTGGGGTCTAGCTGGGGTCTAGGTGGGGTCTACGTGGGGTCTAGCTGGGGTCTAGCTGGGGTCTAGGTGGGGTCTAGGTGGGGTCTAACTGGGGTCTAACTGGGGTCTAACTGGGGTCTAGCTGGTGTCTAGGTTGGGTCTAACTGGGGTCTAACTGGGGTCTAACTGGGGTCTAGGTGGGGTCTAACTGGGGTCTAGGTGGGGTCTAACTGGGGTCTAACTGGGGTCTACGTGGGGTCTAACTGGGGTCTAGGTGGGGTCCAACTGGGGTCTAACTGGGGTCTAACTGGGGTCTAGGTGGGGTCTAGGTGGGGTCTAACTGGGGTCTAGGTGGGGTCTAGGTGGGGTCTACGTGGGGTCTAGGTGGGGTCTAGGTGGGGTCTAACTGGGGTCTAACTGGGGTCTAGGTGGGGTCTAGGTGGGGTCTAGGTGGGGTCTAACTGGGGTGTAACTGGGGTCTAGGTGGGGTCTAACTGGGGTCTAGGTGGGGTCTAGGTGGGGTCTAGCTGGGGTCTAGCTGGGGTCTAGGTGGGGTCTAGGTGGGGTCTAGGTGGGGTCTAACTGGGGTGTAACTGGGGTCTAGGTGGGGTCTAACTGGGGTCTAGGTGGGGTCTAGGTGGGGTCTAACTGGGGTCTAGGTGGGGTCTAGGTGGGGTCTAACTGGGGTCTAGGTGGGGTCTAGGTGGGGTCTAGGTGAGGTCTAAGTGGGGTCTAACTGGGGTCTAGGTGGGGTCTAGGTGGGGTCTAACTGGGGTCTAGGTGGGGTCTAACTGGGGTCTAGGTGGGGTCTAGCTGGGGTCTAGGTGGGGTCTAGGTGGGGTCTAACTGGGGTCTAGGTGGGGTCTAACTGGGGTCTAGGTGGGGTCTAGGTGGGGTCTAGGTGGGGTCTAAGTGGGGTCTAACTGGGGTCTAGGTGGGGTCTAGGTGGGGTCTAGGTGGGGTCTAGCTGGGGTCTAGGTGGGGTCTAGGTGGGGTCTAGGTGGGGTCTTCGTGGGGTCTAGGTGGGGTCTAGGTGGGGTCTAACTGGGGTCTAACTGGGGTCTAGGTGGGGTCTAGGTGGGGTCTAACTGGGGTGTAACTGGGGTCTAGGTGGGGTCTAACTGGGGTCTAGGTGGGGTCTAGGTGGGGTCTAGCTGGGGTCTAGCTGGGGTCTAGGTGGGGTCTAACTGGGGTGTAACTGGGGTCTAGGTGGGGTCTAACTGGGGTCTAGGTGGGGTCTAACTGGGGTCTAGGTGGGGTCTAGGTGGGGTCTAGGTGGGGTCTAAGTGGGGTCTAGGTGGGGTCTAGGTGGGGTCTAACTGGGGTGTAACTGGGGTTTAGGTGGGGTCTAACTGGGGTCTAGGTGGGGTCTAGGTGGGGTCTAGCTGGGGTCTAGGTGGGGTCTAGGTGGGGTCTAACTGGGGTGTAACTGGGGTCTAGGTGGGGTCTAACTGGGGTCTAGGTGGGGTCTAACTGGGGTCTAGGTGGGGTCTAGGTGGGGTCTAACTAGGGTCTAGGTGGGGTCTAACTGGGGTCTAGGTGGGGTCTAGCTGGGGTCTAGGTGGGGTCTAGGTGGGGTCTAACTGGCGTCTAGGTGGGGTCTAACTGGGGTCTAGGTGGGGTCTAGGTGGGGTCTAACTGCAGTCTAACTGGGGTCTAACTGGGGTCTAGCTGGGGTCTAACTGGGGTCTAGGTGGGATCTAGGTGGGGTCTAACTGGGGTCTAGGTGGGGTCTAGCTGGGGTCTAGGTGGGGTCTAGGTGGGGTCTAACTGGGGTCTAACTGGGGTCTAGGTGGGGTCTAACTGGGGTCTAACTGGGGTCAAGGTGGGGTCTAACTGGGGTCTAACTGGGGTCTAGCTGGGGTCTAGGTGGGGTCTAGGTGGGGTCTAGGTGGGGTCTAACTGGGGTCTAACTGGGGTCTAGCTGGGGTCTAGGTGGGGTCTAGGTGGGGTCTAGGTGGGGTCTAACTGGGGTCTAGGTGGGGTCTAGGTGGGGTCTAGGTGGGGTCTAGCTGGGGTCTAACTGGGGTCTAGGTGGGGTCTAGGTGGGGTCTAACTGGGGTCTAACTGGGGTCTAGCTGGGGTCTAACTGGGGTCTAACTGGGGTCTAGGTGGGGTCTAGGTGGGGTCTAGGTGGGGTCTAACTGGGGTCTAGGTGGGGTCTAACTGGGGTCTAACTGGGGTCTAATTGGGGTCTAGCTGGGGTCTACCTGGGGTCTAGCTGGGGTCTAACTGGTGTCTAACTGGGGTCTAGCTGGGGTCTACATGGGGTCTAACTGGGGTCTAACTGGGGTCTAGGTGGGGTCTAACTGGGGTCTACGTGGGGTCTAACTGGGGTCTAAACTGGGGTCTAGGTGGGGTCTAACTGCAGTCTAACTGGGGTCTAACTGGGGTCTAGCTGGGGTCTAACTGGGGTCTAGGTGGGATCTAGGTGGGGTCTAACTGGGGTCTAGGTGGGGTCTAGCTGGGGTCTAGGTGGGGTCTAGGTGGGGTCTAACTGGGGTCTAACTGGGGTCTAGGTGGGGTCTAGCTGGGGTTTAGGTGGGGTCTAGGTCGGGTCTAACTGGGGTCTAACTGGGGTCTAGGTGGGGTCTAACTGGGGTCTAACTGGGGTCTAGGTGGGGTCTAACTGCGGTCTAACTGGGGTCTAGGTGGGGTCTAACTGGGGTCAAACTGGGGTCTAGGTGGGGTTTACGTGGGGTCTAACTGGGGTCTAGGTGGGGTCTAACTGGGGTCTAGGTGGGGTCTACGTGGGGTCTAACTGGGGTCTAACTGGGGTCTAGCTGGGGTCTAGGTGGGGTCTAGGTGGGGTCTAACTGGGGTCTAACTGGGGCCTAACTGGGGTCTAGCTGAGGTCTAGGTGGGGTCTACGTGGGGTCTTACTGGGGTCTAACTGGGGTCTAGCTGGGGTCTAACTGGGGTCTAACTGGGGTCTAACTGGGGTCTAACTGGGGTCTAACTGGGGTCTAACTGGGGTCTACGTTGGGTCTAACTGGGGTCTAACTGGGGTCTAACAGGGGTCTAACTGGGGTCTAGGTGGGGTCTACGTGGGGTCTAACTGGGGTCTAACTGGGGTCTAGGTAGGGTCTAGGTGGGGTCTAGGTGGGGTCTAACTGGGGTCAAACTGGGGTCTAGGTGGGGTCTACGTGGGGTCTAACTGGAGTCTAGGTGGGGTCTAACTGGGGTCTAGTTGGGGTCTACATGGGGGTCTAACTGGGGTCTAACTGGGGTCTAGCTGGGGTATAGGTGGGGTCTAGGTGGGGTCTAACTGGGGTCTAGGTGGGGTCTAACTGGGGTCTAGGTGGGGTCTAACTGGGGTCTAGGTGGGGTCTAGCTGGGGTCTAACTGGGGTCTAGGTGGGGTCTAGGTGGGGTCTAGCTGGGGTCTAACTGGGGTTCTAGGTGGGGTCTACGTGGGGTCTAACTGGGGTCTAACTGGGGTCAAGGTGGGGTCTAACTGCGGTCTAACTGGGGTCTAACTGGGGTCTAGCTGGGGTCTAGGTGGGGTCTAACTGGGGTCTAACTGGGGTCTAGGTGGGGTCTAACTGCGGTCTAACTGGGGTCTAGGTGGGGTCTAGCTGGGGTCTAACTGGGGTCTAGCTGGGGTCTAACTGGGGTCTAGCTGGGGTCTAGGTGGGGTCTAGCTGGGGTCTAGGTGGGGTCTAACTGGGGTCTAACAGGGGTCTAACAGGGGTCTAACAGGGGTCTAACAGGGGTCTAACAGGGGTCTAACAGGGGTCTAACTGGGGTCTAACTGGGGTCTGTGCACACAGCGGCTGAGCTGGGAGCCAGAGTGGCCGTTCTGGACTACGTGGCACCATCACCCCAAGGTGAGTGGAGAGAGTGAGTGTGAGTGTGTCAGTGAGTGTGTCAGTGAGTGTGAGTGTGTCAGTGAGTGTCAGTGTGTCAGTGAGTGTGTCAGTGAGTGTGTCAGTGTGTCAGTGAGTGAGTCAGTGAGTGTGTCAGTGTGTCAGTGAGTGTGAGTGTGTCAGTGAGTGTGTTAGTGAGTGTGTCAGTGAGTGAGTGTGTCAGTGAGTGTGTGTGTGAGTGTGTCAGTGTGTCAGTGAGTGTGTTAGTGAGTGTGTCAGTGTGTCAGTGTCAGTGTGTCAGTGTGTCAGTGTGTCAGTGAGTGTGTCAGTGAGTGTGTCAGTGTGTCAGTGAGTGTGTCAGTGAGTGTGTCAGTGGGTGTGTGTGTGTGAGTGTGTCAGTGAGTGTGTCAGTGTGTCAGTGAGTGTGTCAGTGTGTCAGTGAGTGTGTCAGTGAGTGTGTCAGTGTGTCAGTGAGTGTGAGTGTGTCAGTGAGTGTGTCAGTGTGTCAGTGAGTGTGTCAGTGAGTGTGTCAGTGTGTCAGTGAGTGTGAGTGTTTCAGTGAGTGTGTCAGTGAGTGTGTCAGTGAGTGTGTCAGTGTGTGAGTGTCAGTGTGTCAGTGTGTCAGTGAGTGTGTGTGAAGGTGTCAGTGTGTGTGTCAGTGTGTCAGTGAGTGTGTCAGTGAGTGTGTCAGTGAGTGTGTGTGAGTGTGTCAGTGAGTGTGAGTGTGTCAGTGAGTGTGTCAGTGAGTGTGTCAGTGTGTGTGTCAGTGTGTGTGTGAGTGTGTCAGTGAGTGTGTGTGTGAGTGTGTCAGTGAGTGTGTCAGTGAGTGTGTCAGTGAGTGTGTCAGTGAGTGTGAGTGTGTCAGTGAGTGTGTCAGTGAGTGTGTCAGTGAGTGTGAGTGTGTCAGTGAGTGTGTCAGTGTGTGTGTGAGTGAGTGTGTCAGTGAGTGTGTCAGTGAGTGTGAGTGTGTCAGTGAGTGTGTCAGTGAGTGTGAGTGTGTCAGTGAGTGTGTCAGTGAGTGTGTCAGTGAGTGTGTTAGTGAGTGTGTCAGTGAGTGTGTCAGTGTGTGTGAGTGTGTGTGTGTGAGTGTGTCAGTGAGTGTGTGAGTGTGTGTGAGTGTGTGTGAGTGTGTGTGAGTGTGTCAGTGAGTGTGTCAGTGAGTGTGTGTGTGTGTGTCAGTGAGTGTTTCAGTGAGTGTGAGTGTGTCAGTGAGTGTGTCAGTGAGTGTGTCAGTGAGTGTGTGTGTGTGAGTGTGTGTGTGTGAGTGTGTGTGTGAGTGTGTGTGAGTGTGTCAGTGAGTGTGTGTGAGTGTGTGAGTGTCAGTGTGTGTGAGTGTGTCAGTGAGTGTGTCAGTGAGTGTGTGTGTGAGTGCGTGAGTGTGTGTGTGTGAGTGTGTATGTGTGTGTATGAGTGAGTGTATGAGTGTATGAGTGTTTGAGTGAGTGAGTGAGTGTATGAGTGAGTGTATGAGTGAGTGTATGAGTGAGTGAGTGTATGAGTGAGTGAGTGTATGAGTGAGTGAGTGTATGAGTGAGTGAGTGTATGAGTGAGTGTATGAGTGAGTGTATGAGTGAGTGTATGAGTGAGTATATGAGTGAGTGTAACAGTGAGTGAGTGTATGAGTGAGTGAGTGTATGAGTGTATGAGTGAGTGAGTGTATGAGTGAGTGTATGAGTGAGTGTATGAGTGAGTGAGTGTATGAGTGAGTGTATGAGTGAGTGAGTGTATGAGTGAGTGAGTGTATGAGTGAGTGTATGAGTTAGTGAGTGTATGAGTGAGTGAGTGTATGAGTGAGTGAGTGTACGAGTGAGTGTACGAGTGAGTGTATGAGTGAGTGTATGAGTGAGTGAGTGAGTGTATGAGTGAGTGAGTGTATGAGTGAGTGAGTGTACGAGTGAGTGTATGAATGAGTGTGTGAGTGAGTGAGTGTATGAGTGAGTGAGTGAGTGTATGAGTGAGTGTATGAGTGAGTGTATGAGTGAGTGTATGAGTGAGTGCGTGTATGAGTGAGTGTATGAGTGAGTGAGTGAGTGTATGAGTGAGTGTATGAGTGAGTGAGTGTATGAGTGAGTGTATGAGTGATTGTATGAGTGAGTGAGTGTATGAGTGAGTGTGTGAGTGAGTGAGTGTATGAGTGAGTGACTGTATGAGTGAGTGTATGAGTGAGTGTATGAGTGATTGTATGAGTGTATGAGTGAGTGAGTGTATGAGTGAGTGAGTGTATGAGTGAGTGTATGAGTGAGTGTATGAGTGAGTGAGTGTATGAGTGAGTGACTGAGTGAGTGTGTGAGTGAGTGTATGAGTGAGTGTATGAGTGAGTGTATGAGTGAGTGTATGAGTGAGTGTATCAGTGAGTGTATGAGTGAGTGTATGAGTGAGTGTATCAGTGAGTGTATGAGTGAGTGTATGAGTGAGTGTATGAGTGAGTGTATGAGTGAGTGTATGAGTGAGTGTATGACTGAGTGTATGAGTGAGTGTATGAGTGAGTGTATGAGTGAGTGAGTGAGTGTATGAGTGAGTGTATGAGTGAGTGAGTGTATGAGTGAGTGAGTGTATGAGTGAGTGAGTGAGTGTATGAGTGAGTGTATGAGTGAGTGAGTGAGTGTATGAGTGAGTGTATGAGTGAGTGTATGAGTGAGTGAGTGTATGAGTGAGTGTATGAGTGAGTGTATGAGTGAGTGTATGAGTGAGTGAGTGTGTGAGTAAGTGAGTGTGTGAGTGAGTGAGTGTATGAGTGAGTGTATGAGTGAGTGAGTGAGTGTATGAGTGAGTGTATGAGTGTATGAGTGAGTGTATGAGTGAGTGAGTGTATGAGTGAGTGAGTGTATGAGTGAGTGAGTGTATCAGTGAGTGAGTGTATGAGTGAGTGAGTGAGTGTATGAGTGAGTGTATGAGTGAGTGTATGAGTGAGTGTATGAGTGAGTGAGTGTATGAGTGAGTGAGTGTATGAGTGAGTGTATGAGTGAGTGAGTGAGTGTATGAGTGAGTGAGTGTATGAGTGAGTGTATGAGTGAGTGTATGAGTGAGTGAGTGTATGAGTGAGTGTGTGAGTGAGTGTATGAGTGAGTGTATGAGTGAGTGAGTGTATCAGTGAGTGTATGAGTGAGTGAGTGAGTGTATGAGTGAGTGAGTGAGTGTATGAGTGAGTGTATGAGTGAGTGAGTGAGTGTATGAGTGAGTGAGTGTATGAGTGAGTGTATGAGTGAGTGAGTGTATGAGTGAGTGTATGAGTGTATGAGTGAGTGAGTGTATGAGTGAGTGTATGAGTGTATGAGTGAGTGAGTGAGTGTATGAGTGAGTGAGTGTATGAGTGAGTGAGTGTATGAGTGAGTGAGTGTATGAGTGAGTGAGTGTATGAGTGAGTGTGTGAGTGAGTGTATGAGTGAGTGAGTGTATGAGTGAGTGTATGAGTGAGTGAGTGTATGAGTGAGTGTATGAGTGAGTGTGTGAGTGTATGAGTGAGTGAGTGTATGAGTGAGTGTATCAGTGAGTGTATGAGTGAGTGAGTGTATGAGTGAGTGAGTGTATGAGTGAGTGTATGAGTGAGTGTATGAGTGAGTGAGTGTATGAGTGAGTGAGTGTATGAGTGAGTGAGTGTATGAGTGAGTGTGTGAGTGAGTGTATGAGTGAGTGAGTGTATGAGTGAGTGTATGAGTGAGTGAGTGTATGAGTGAGTGTATGAGTGAGTGTGTGAGTGTATGAGTGAGTGAGTGTATGAGTGAGTGTATGAGTGAGTGAGTGAGTGTATGAGTGAGTGTATGAGTGAGTGAGTGTATGAGTGAGTGAGTGAGTGTATGAGTGAGTGTATGAGTGAGTGTATGAGTGAGTGTGTGAGTGAGTGTATGAGTGAGTGTATGAGTGAGTGTATGAGTGAGTGAGTGTATGAGTGAGTGAGTGTATGAGTGTATGAGTGAGTGTATGAGTGAGTGTATGAGTGAGTGTATGAGTGAGTGTATGAGTGAGTGTATGAGTGAGTGTATGAGTGAGTGAGTGTATGAGTGAGTGTATGAGTGAGTGTATGAGTGAGTGTATGAGTGAGTGTATGAGTGAGTGAGTGTATGAGTGAGTGAGTGTATGAGTGTATGAGTGAGTGTATGAGTGAGTGAGTGTATGAGTGAGTGTATGAGTGAGTGTATGAGTGAGTGAGTGTATGAGTGAGTGTATGAGTGAGTGAGTGAGTGTATGAGTGAGTGAGTGAGTGTATGAGTGAGTGTATGAGTGAGTGTATGAGTGAGTGTATGAGTGAGTGTATGAGTGAGTGTATGAGTGTATGAGTGAGTGAGTGTATGAGTGAGTGTATGAGTAAGTGTATGAGTGAGTGTATGAGTGAGTGTATGAGTGAGTGAGTGTATGAGTGAGTGTATGAGTGAGTGAGTGTATCAGTGAGTGTATGAGTGAGTGAGTGTATCAGTGAGTGTATGAGTGAGTGTATGAGTGAGTGAGTGTGTGAGTGAGTGAGTGTATGAGTGAGTGTGTGTGTGAGTGAGTGAGTGTATCAGTGAGTGTATGAGTGAGTGTATGAGTGAGTGAGTGTATGAGTGAGTGTATGAGTGAGTGTATGAGTGAGTGTATGAGTGAGTGAGTGTATGAGTGAGTGTATGAGTGAGTGAGTGTATCAGTGAGTGTATGAGTGTGTGTATGAGTGAGTGAGTGTATGAGTGAGTGTATCAGTGAGTGTGTGAGTGAGTGAGTGAGTGTATGAATGAGTGTATGAGTGTATGAGTGAGTGTATGAGTGAGTGTATGAGTGTATGAGTGAGTGTATGAGTGTATGAGTGAGTGTATGAGTGTATGAGTGAGTGTATGAGTGAGTGTATGAGTGAGTGTATGAGTGAGTGAGTGTATGAGTGAGTGTATGAGTGAGTGAGTGTATGAGTGAGTGAGTGAGTGTATGAGTGAGTGAGTGTATGAGTGAGTGTATGAGTGAGTGAGTGTATGAGTGAGTGTATGAGTGAGTGTGTGAGTGAGTGAGTGTATGAGTGAGTGTATGAGTGAGTGTATGAGTGAGTGAGTGTATGAGTGAGTGTATGAGTGAGTGAGTGTATGAGTGAGTGTATGAGTGAGTGAGTGTATGAGTGAGTGTATGAGTGAGTGTATGAGTGAGTGAGTGTATGAGTGAGTGTATGAGTGAGTGAGTGTATGAGTGTATGAGTGAGTGTATGAGTGAGTGTATGAGTGAGTGAGTGTATGAGTGAGTGAGTGTATGAGTGAGTGTATGAGTGAGTGTATGAGTGAGTGTATGAGTGAGTGTATGAGTGAGTGTATGAGTGAGTGTATGAGTGAGTGTATGAGTGAGTGTATGAGTGAGTGAGTGTATGAGTGAGTGTATCAGTGAGTGTATGAGTGAGTGTATGAGTGAGTGTATGAGTGAGTGTATGAGTGAGTGTATGAGTGAGTGTATGAGTGAGTGTATGAGTGAGTGTATGAGTGAGTGAGTGTATGAGTGAGTGTATGAGTGAGTGAGTGTATGAGTGAGTGTATGAGTGAGTGTATGAGTGAGTGTATGAGTGAGTGTATGAGTGAGTGTATGAGTGAGTGTATGAGTGTATGAGTGAGTGAGTGTATGAGTGAGTGTATGAGTGAGTGTATGAGTGAGTGTATGAGTGAGTGAGTGAGTGTATGAGTGAGTGTATGAGTGAGTGAGTGTATGAGTGAGTGAGTGTATGAGTGAGTGTATGAGTGAGTGAGTGTATGAGTGAGTGAGTGTATGAGTGAGTGTATGAGTGAGTGAGTGTATGAGTGAGTGTGTGAGTGAGTGTATGAGTGAGTGAGTGTATGAGTGAGTGTATGAGTGAGTGAGTGAGTGTATGAGTGAGTGAGTGTATGAGTGAGTGAGTGTATGAGTGAGTGTATGAGTGAGTGTGTGAGTGAGTGTGTGAGTGAGTGTGTGAGTGAGTGAGTGAGTGTATGAGTGAGTGTATGAGTGAGTGTATGAGTGAGTGTATGAGTGAGTGTATGAGTGAGTGTATGAGTGAGTGTATGAGTGAGTGTATGAGTGAGTGAGTGTATGAGTGAGTGTATGAGTGAGTGAGTGTATGAGTGAGTGTATGAGTGAGTGAGTGTATGAGTGAGTGTATGAGTGAGTGAGTGTATGAGTGAGTGTATGAGTGAGTGTATGAGTGAGTGTATGAGTGAGTGTATGAGTGAGTGTCTGAGTGAGTGTATGAGTGAGTGAGTGTATGAGTGAGTGTATGAGTGAGTGTATGAGTGAGTGTATGAGTGAGTGTATGAGTGAGTGTATGAGTGAGTGTATGAGTGAGTGTATGAGTGAGTGTATGAGTGAGTGAGTGTGTGAGTGAGTGTATGAGTGAGTGTATGAGTGAGTGTATGAGTGAGTGAGTGTATGAGTGAGTGAGTGTATGAGTGAGTGTATGAGTGAGTGTATGAGTGAGTGAGTGTGTGAGTGAGTGTATGAGTGAGTGAGTGTATGAGTGAGTGAGTGTATGAGTGAGTGTATGAGTGAGTGAGTGTATGAGTGAGTGAGTGTATCAGTGAGTGAGTGTATGAGTGAGTGTATCAGTGAGTGTATCAGTGAGTGTATGAGTGAGTGTATGAGTGAGTGTATGAGTGAGTGTATGAGTGAGTGAGTGTATGAGTGAGTGTATGAGTGAGTGAGTGAGTGTATGAGTGTGTGTATGAGTGAGTGTATGAGTGAGTGTATGAGTGAGTGTATCAGTGAGTGTATGAGTGAGTGTATGAGTGTATGAGTGAGTGTGTGAGTGAGTGTATGTATGAGTGTATGAGTGAGTGTATGAGTGAGTGTATGAGTGAGTGAGTGTATGAGTGAGTGTATGAGTGAGTGTATGAGTGAGTGAGTGTATGAGTGAGTGAGTGTATGAGTGAGTGTATCAGTGAGTGAGTGAGTGTATGAGTGAGTGTATGAGTGAGTGTATGAGTGAGTGTATGAGTGAGTGAGTGTATGAGTGAGTGTATCAGTGAGTGAGTGAGTGTATGAGTGAGTGTATGAGTGAGTGTATGAGTGAGTGTATGAGTGAGTGTATGAGTGAGTGTATGAGTGAGTGTATGAGTGAGTGTATGAGTGAGTGTATGAGTGAGTGTATGAGTGAGTGAGTGTATGAGTGAGTGAGTGTATGAGTGAGTGTATCAGTGAGTGAGTGAGTGTATGAGTGAGTGTATGAGTGAGTGTATGAGTGAGTGTATGAGTGAGTGTATGAGTGAGTGTATGAGTGAGTGTATGAGTGAGTGTATGAGTGAGTGTATCAGTGAGTGAGTGTATGAGTGAGTGTATGAGTGAGTGTATGAGTGAGTGTATGAGTGAGTGTATGAGTGAGTGTATGAGTGAGTGTATGAGTGAGTGTATCAGTGAGTGAGTGTATGAGTGAGTGTGTGAGTGAGTGTATGAGTGAGTGAGTGAGTGAGTGTATGAGTGAGTGAGTGTATGAGTGAGTGTATGAGTGAGTGTATCAGTGAGTGTATGAGTGAGTGAGTGTATGAGTGAGTGTATGAGTGAGTGTGTGAGTGAGTGTATGAGTGAGTGTCTGAGTGAGTGTGTGAGTGAGTGTCTGAGTGAGTGAGTGTATGAGTGAGTGAGTGTATGAGTGAGTGTATGAGTGAGTGAGTGTATGAGTGAGTGTATGAGTGAGTGTATGAGTGAGTGTATGAGTGAGTGAGTGTATGAGTGAGTGTATGAGTGAGTGAGTGTATGAGTGAGTGTATGAGTGAGTGAGTGTCTGAGTGAGTGTATGAGTGAGTGTATGAGTGAGTGTATGAGTGAGTGAGTGTATGAGTGAGTGTATCAGTGAGTGTATGAGTGAGTGTATGAGTGAGTGTATGAGTGAGTGTATGAGTGAGTGTATGAGTGAGTGTATGAGTGAGTGTATGAGTGAGTGAGTGTATGAGTGAGTGTATGAGTGAGTGTATGAGTGAGTGTATGAGTGAGTGAGTGTATCAGTGAGTGTATGAGTGAGTGTATGAGTGAGTGAGTGTATGAGTGAGTGTATGAGTGAGTGTATGAGTGAGTGAGTGTATCAGTGAGTGTATGAGTGAGTGTATGAGTGAGTGAGTGTATGAGTGAGTGAGTGTATGAGTGAGTGTATGAGTGAGTGTATGAGTGAGTGTATGAGTGAGTGAGTGTATGAGTGAGTGTATGAGTGAGTGTATGAGTGAGTGTATGAGTGAGTGTATGAGTGAGTGTATGAGTGAGTGAGTGTATGAGTGAGTGAGTGTATGAGTGAGTGTATGAGTGAGTGTATGAGTGAGTGTATGAGTGAGTGTATGAGTGAGTGTATGAGTGAGTGTATGAGTGAGTGTATGAGTGAGTGTATGAGTGAGTACCCTCCCGCCCAGGTACGCGCTGGGGTCTAGGTGGAACCTGCATCAACGTTGGCTGCATCCCCAAGAAGTTGATGCATCAAGCAGCACTCCTAGCTGGAGCCCTGGCTGACGCTCCACACTTCGGATGGCAGCTCCCTCCTCATCAGCAGCACAGACACTCGTGGTAGCGGAGCTGCTGATGAGGATGATGATCGTCGAAGCGGCTCGCTCGCTCACCGTTCACTCAGTCACTCACTTATACACTCACTCACTCATACACTCACTCACTAATACACTCACTCACTCATACACTCACTCACTCATACACTCACTCACTTCATACACTCACTCATACATCACTCACTCACTCACTCATACACTCACTCACTCATACACTCACTCACTATACACTCACTCACTACACTCACTCACTCACTCATACACTCACTCACTCACACACTCACTCACTTATACACTCACTCACT